CCGCCATATTCCCTCCCGCCGGCCGGCCCGCGGCGCGCAGCCACCATGAGCACCGCCGCCTTCCACATCTCCAGCCTCTTGGAGAAGATGACGTCCAGCGACAAGGACTTCAGGTGCGCCCCGCTGCCCCGCCCCGCCTCCCCGCCTCCACAGAAACCTCCGGCCTTCTTCCCTTCCCGAGGAGCCGGCCCACCGCGGGACATTGCAGCCCCTGCTTCTTCTCCCCGCGTTAAGCTCCGCCTCCTGAGATTTCCCCCCTTTCCTGACTCCCGCCCCGCGTCTCCCCAGATTGCAGTCCTGCCCTCTCGGTGACTTTAAGCCCTCCTTCATCACCCGCCGTGCACACTTCAGCCCCTGCCGCCTGTCCCCTTATCAAAGCTCCAGCTCCGCCCTTCTGCACCCTTCCTCTGCCTCTTTTCATTTATGCCTAATCCTTGTCTCAGCCTCGCATTTGACGCGCCCACAGTTAAGCCCTTGGATTCTCCTGAACGACCCCAGCGCTGCCGGTTCTTACCCCTCATTGAAACCGGGCCTCTTTCCGGGACCACAACCCTGGGGTTGACTTTTTCTCTGATACCCTCAGCACACTCCCCTCCGCCCTCTTCTCAGAATCACCCCAGGCCTCCTCCCTGCACATCAGGGCACCCTCTCTCATCTCCTCCCCTCCATGGTTTGCTTTGACACAGCCTGAAGGAGGGAGCTGGGCTGTGTGGCTTTGCAGGCAGAGGTAGGTGATGGTTCGGGTGGAGGGTTGTAGGTTTTGTGTGCCTTCCCCTTCCTACTTCTTCCCCCAGCATCACTGGGCTGCACAAGAACAGGGCTGAAAAGAATAGAGGAAACCTCTGGCCCAACCCTCTCATCCCCAGGGGGAAACCGAGGCCCAGGGAGGTGAAGGGACTGGCCTGGCCCATGGTTACACAGCCAGTTCTGGACCCTCTAACCTGAAAGGAGCTCTTGGAGACCAACATAGGCGCACACATTTATTGAACACTCTATCACTTTATCCCCATTTTACAGACAGGAAAACCGAGGCCCAGAGGCATGAAAGGCCTAGGTGCAGTCACAGAGCTAGAAAGTGGAGGACTTGGGGTCCAAATCCAGGTCAATATAACACGGGCTGAGGTTTTAGCGAGGCCATCTGATTCCAGCCCCCTGACAGATGAGGAGACTGCCCCTCTGCCTTCTGAAACCCATTCCTCAGCACCTCTCAAGAGCCTCTAGTACAGCATTAGTGGAACCTTTGAGCCACGATCCTGGGTTCAAATCGTGACCCCAGCCACTTACTGGCTGTGTGACCAGGGATAGGCTGCCTAACCCCTCATGAACCTCAGCTTCTGTTTCTATAAGGTGGAGATAATAACAGAACCCACCTCAGAGGGTTAGTGTGAGGATGAAATGAGTTAATACATGTGGAATGTTTAGATTAATGGCTGCCACCGGACAGGCACTTAATAAATGGACACTATTATGATTCTGTGCAATCGGAAATCTACCATGTCCTCTCCCCACTCTGGGCCTTAACCTGGAAGTTCTGTGCCCCTCACTTCTTTTCCCCTCTTCACCTGGCTAGCTTTTGCCTGTTTCTGCTATGTCACTTTTTAGTCTTGGGAGACCCAGGGCTCTTGGACCACTGGACTGTGCGCTTCCTTTTTGCAAATCAGAGCCTGTTCTGGGTACACAGTAAATGCTGAGTGAATGTTTTCTGTTTCCAGGCTCCCTGCTATGCTGTCCAGTGTGATTTCATTCAGTCCACTTGTCTGCCTGGGTGATAGTGATTGTTCTTCCTGTTCTCCAGAGGCTTGGAGAGGTGAAGTGACTTGCCCAAGGTCACACAGCTGGCCAGTGGCTGAGGGGATTTGCACCACTGTCTCTAGGGCCTTAGGTCTAGTCTCCAGGAGAGGGAGTTGGCCTTGTCACCTAGAGCCTGAGAAACCCTTTCAGCCTGCTCTGCCAGTGGCCCTGAGAACACTTAAAACCACCCAAGCATATGAGAATGGTATCTATTTTTAAAGTCCACATGCCAGGGGGACTGTCCTGCTTACCAGCTGTCCAGGCACCCATATGGCTGAGTGTTTCAGCTGAGTTGCCTCTAAGGTTTCTCTGGAATGAAACTGAGACTGTGTCCTCTGGCTCCCAGTGACTGCAAATGGAGGTCCCAGGCAGGGTAGAGGAAGCCTTTGATCACTGTTATTCCTGGGCCCTCACTCGGTGGGAAGGAGGCTGCCCTGTTCCCACTCAGACTCCAGCAGTGAAGCGGGTAAACTGGGGAGTCTGGTAGGAATTCCCACATCATTTCCTGAAAACAGTAGTATTGATTGAGGAGCCAAGAGACCTGACTGGTGGGCTGATTCTCTTCCCAACTTGCTGTGTGACCCTGGGCAGTTCCTACAACCTCTCTGAGCCTAGTTTCCTCATTTGCCTCATGCTTGAAACTCATTGTCCTATTAAAACCTGCCAAGGATGTTATGAAGCGGGACAAAGAAAATTCCCATTTTTAAATGGAAAAGGTGAGGCTCAGGGAGGCATCAGTTGGTCAAGGTCACTTAGTTGATAAATGATAAGACCAGTATATTTACTTAAAGCCAAACTTAAGTGTTCAAGCACTTATCTACCAAATTATACACTTTCCTGTACACCCCCACTACCACCAACACACCCATATACACAATAGGGCTTTCTTTCTCAGAGAGATGAATGTTTGCTGGTACTCGGGGGTGTCTGAAATGCTGAGGCATATTTCAAGAGGGTTGATTTCTGAGTTCAGGTTTTCATACAGCGTTTTGGCTCTGAGCCTTGTTAGAGGCTGGCTACTCCTGCCTTCACCCTGTTCCCCAGGCCCTCTTTAGACCTGTTCTTTGTTGGGCCTGGAGTCCCAGAGATGAAACTGACAATCTCCTGCGAATTCACAGTTTAATAAGGGAGACACAGAGGTGATCAGGTGTGAGAAGTGCTGTGATGTTGGGGTGCAGAGTGCTCTAAGAGGGTCCTGTCCAGAGGAACCACGTGTGCTTAGAAAGTGTGGGTGGAGGATAGGGCAGAGTGGTCAGAGGAGTCATCGTGAGGCTGGGATATTTGAGCTGGGCTCTTGACAGGTGAATAAATGTTCAACAGGTTCTCCACCTGTTGAAAGATAGGAGTAGGAGGCCCATCTTGGGCAAAATAGCACATCACTTGGGTTGTCAGGCTGAGCTGGGTCTCCGTAGACTTCAGCAGAAATGCAACTTAGAGATCCTGCCTGCCTTCTCAGAACATTCCCTCAGCTGGACAGACCTAGGAGTTTATATGCCTATCCCAGGCCTTGGCCTGGCTCAGATCCAAACATCTTCCTTCACCTCACCTTGGCTGCTTTTCCTGTTACAGCTAGGCTGAGAGGTGGGCATGGTCAGCCCTGCCACTCCCTCTTCGCCTCCAGCCCAGCCTCCTTCCTTCTCTCAGTGGCTTGAGGCTTATCCCAGCTGTTAAAAATAACATCTATGACATCGACAAGTCCCCTCTTAGTAACAGGGTGCTGTGGGCAGCCATGAATTTCAGCAGCAGTTCTGAAACTGCAAAGAGGAGGCTGACTGTGACCAATTTTGCCACAAGAGGCTTGGGGCTAGGGCTCTTGGTTGACTGGCTCAAGCCAGAAAGTAAGGCTGCTGTGAGGAGGTGGGTGGCCTGGTGGATCAGGAAAAGCCAGAGGCTTCCTGGGGCTGTCCCTCTTTGGTCCTGACTTCACAGCATTTCTCCTCGCTGCGCTGTCCAACCTTCTTCTCCAGTCTCTACTATCTAGGGCCTGCAAAAGCCAGTAAACAGATGGAGTGGGCCTGGTAGGGACCCGGTGACTTGGAATGTGTGTCCCACCTATAACGTGACTAGAGCCAGTTTTTGTCACCAGGGACTGAGGGACTATAGGCTCAGTTGTATTCAAATATTCTGTTTTCAAGAGAAAATCAATACTTTTATGTCAACTCTCCCAATGTTCAAATATTGATAAATAATTCAAATTTTCAAAAAAACATTTGCAAGGTGGTTACGGCTAAGGGTTGCCAGTTTAAGACTGTGCTCACCCCTCTGAGGCTTGGAAGGAACGGTGCTCCATAATGCCCCCACAGCCTCAACGCTTCATGGCCTTCCAGCTCAGATTGCCACTGCACTTTCCAATCCCTGTCAGGCCACAAAGATTTGCACACCTGGGGGTGGGTAGCCCTTGACTCTGATTCCCACCCTGGGTCAGGGAGCTATGACTGGGGACTGGTCAGTTGTTGGTGTCAGTGTCTGAGATATGCCCGTGCCAGTGGCCCATTAACATAGCCTAAGGCATTGGTTCTCAGAGTGTGGTCTCTGCCCCTCAGCGTCATCCAAGAACTTGTTAGAAATGCCCCAGCTGAGACTGATTCAGAAACCCTGGGGATGGGGCCCAGCAGTGTTTAACAAACCCTGCAGGTGATTCTCCTGCTGGCTACAGTTTGAGAACCGCTGGTCAAAGGGTAGGGACTGAGTTGATTCTCTGAAGTGGAGGTGGGCAAAGCTAGCCCACTCTGCTTGTCTGATAGAGAGGCTTCTTACTAACACCTGGCTTAGTTGCAAGGAGTCTGTTCAACCTTTTTTTGTGAAAAGAGATATGAATGATGTACCATGCCATTATAATAATGGCAGTGCCACTCACCGAGTATTTATGTACTGTTCTCTCACTGCTATGCACATCATATGCATTATCTCATTTTATCTTCCATACAACCCCATGAGGCAGGTACTATTCTCATCCCCATTTTCCAGACAGGTAAATTAAAGTTCAGTAATGTGAATGGCTTGTCTAAGTTCACATTTGCATAAATGGCAGAAGTAAAAGCCACCAACTTTGAAGCCCTATGCATTTAGCTAGTATGCTGTGCCACTCCTAGTTGGCCACGATGTGGTAGTTGGTGTCTCTCACACTCAGGTCTCCTTGTGGTAGCTGGACCATGCCTATAGCCCAGGTAATCTACTTGCCCTTGAATCTTTGTATCAAGGTCTGCTTCTGGGGGAACCCTAAGATACTGCCCAAATCACCGGGGCCCAGGAGCTGCTCAGCAATCCTCTCCCCTCTCTGCCCAGGTTCATGGCAACTAGTGATCTGATGTCAGAGCTGCAGAAGGACTCCATCCAGCTGGATGAGGACAGTGAGCGCAAGGTGGTAAAGATGCTGCTTAGGCTCCTGGAAGACAAGAATGGCGAGGTGCAGAACCTGGCGGTCAAGTGGTGAGTGTCGGCCTTGGTGGAGACAGAGAGGGCACCTGGCCAGTCTGGGAGGTCCCTGCCCCTTTGGGGTACAGCCTCTGAGAATTGCAGAGCAGCTCCTGGAGCCCCAGTGGAGTTGGACAGTGCCTTGGTCTGGCTTCCCCCAGAAGTAGACTTAGCAACAAAGATTCAGTTGTAAGTTTATTTGAGAGGTGATCCCAGGAAACTCCAGTGTGGGAATAGAGAAGTAAGGCAGGGAAGGAAGAAAGCCAATAAAGTCTCTGCATCATCAAGCAAGTTACTTCTGCGGGCAAGCATAGCTTACCCTACTGGGGACCTCTAGTACAGTGTGGGACATACCCCTTGGAGTGTTCCCACTTGCCAGTTCTCTGTCAGTCTTTGGCTGAGGGCTGCTCTTGGGGTTTGGTGGAGGATGATGCAGGGAATGCATCAGGTTCAGGAGATATGGTAGGGCCCAATAATTTGCATTTCTAACAAGTTCCCAATAGATACTGACACAAGTGGTCTAGGGACTATTCTTTGAGAATCTGTGCCTTAGAGCCTTGCTTCTCAAAGTGTGGTTACGGATCAGCACCGTCAGCATCACTTTGAACTTGTCAGAAATGCGGACTCTCAGGTCCTAGCCTAGAACAACTGAACCAGAATCTGCAATTCAAGAAAGTCTCCAAGGGACCCGAATGCACATTAATGTTTAGAAACAGCTGCACTATATGTCCTGTGTCTCAGCCTTAACTGTGCATTGCCATTGCCTGGGGCCTTTAAAAAACTGTTAGCTGGGTGTCAGCCCCAGAGTCTGAGTTAATTGGTTTCAGGTGTGGCCTGGACAATGGGTGTTTTTAAATTCCCCAGGTGATTCTAACGTGTAGTCAAGGCTGAGAACCTCTGATCTAAATGAGTGGTTCTCCGAGGATGTCAGTGTGCATTAGAATGTGGATTCTCGCCTCTCTGCCTGAGCCACCTTCCTCCAGCCAGACCACATGCCTGACCATGTCACTTTCCTGCATAAAACTCTTTACTGAATTCCCTTCCCTCTTGGGATCAAGTTGAACTTCATTAACAAAACCCAGAATGCCTGAACCCAGCTCACAGAGTACTGTTAGAGAGGCAGTGACCCAATTCTCTGTTGACTATCGACCCCTGCCATTCCTCAGTGCCCTATCCACTCCCCCCACCCCCCACCCCCCACACATACCGCATCTTGCCTTTTCAGCTCTAGAGGTAAGTAGCCAAGGTGCCAGGACCACAACCTCATGATGCCTAGGGCAAAGGCTTTTGCTTCCCCCATCCCCCGTGTCCCTTCAGCCCTCACTACTCTGGTGCATGCCAGCTCCTGCGTCTGTGCCTGAGAATCTGAGGTAGGGCCCAGTCATCTGTGTTTTAACAAGTCCTCCAGGAGATTCCGATATTCAGTCCAGTTGGAGAACCTCTGCTCTTGGGTACTCGTTGGTTTCTAGCCGAGATTACTGGTTGGATGGTTTGGCCATATACTGAGATGCAAAACCCAGGAAGAGATACAAGTTTAGGAGGTAGCAGGCACAACATTGGCATAGCCATAAGATGCCTCTACTTCTGGCAAAATAGGAAGTCCTCTGTTGATCCGGGGCCTTTTCCTCAGCACATGTGGCCCCATGGGCATGAGGAAACAAAAGGGACAGCCCAACCTAGGCTGAGTCTGGGGCTTTTGGACCTGCTCCCTCCCTTCCTCTCTGCTCAGCCTGGGTCCTCTGGTGGGCAAAGTGAAGGAGTACCAGGTGGAGACCATTGTGGATGCTCTATGTGCCAACATGCGGTCAGACAAGGAGCAGCTCCGAGACATCGCTGGCATCGGCCTCAAGACCGTCCTGTCAGAACTCCCTGCTGCAGCCACAGGTACCCAGGTCCCAGGGATTAGGTACTATTATTATTTGTTCTAGTTTATAGTTAGAGAAACTGAGGCTCAGAGAGGTGAGGGGACTTACCTAAGGTCAACCAGCTAGTCAGTGGCAGAGAATTCAGACCCAGATCTACTTTAAGTTCATGGCTGTTTTGTTACTGCAGCTTTTACTTTTCTCATATAATTCTGAAGGGATCAGCCACTCTTTTTTTGCAGCTCCAATTTTAGTATATATGCTGCTGAAGTGAGCACTTTGCAGCTCCATTAGGACAGGGTTGAGTCTCTGCCCAGGTCTCTTACACTTTATAAGAAGAACACATGTTTCCCCAGAAGCACTCAGAAGACTTTGACCTGTATCTCACTGGCCAGAACAGGGTCACTTGGCTTCTCCTAGCAGCAAGGGAGTCCAGAAAAAGAAGTGCTTAACTTTTCCTGCCTCTCTAGTGGAGGGCAGAAGGAAGGAGAGGTTGGGTGTGGGGGGAGCCAGCCAGCAGATCGGCTGTCAGTTTTTCAGCTCCCTGAGCTGTTTCCTTTAGTGTGATTAGGACTCTGGGTCAAACGTGGGACCACTCGAGTCCTGAATTCCCTGCATTAGCAGGATTCTCAGGGACATGGGCTCAGGAACACAACCGGAACAAAGTCCAACCAGAGGTAGAGGCCAGCCCTGTGCTTCACTGTGCCCACCTTGTGCTCTGTGCAGGCTCTGGCCTGGCCACCAACGTGTGCAGGAAGATCACTGGCCAGCTCACCAATGCCATTGCCCAGCAAGAGGATGTGGCCGTGCAGCTGGAAGCCCTGGACATCCTCTCTGACATGCTGAGCAGGTGCAGGAGGCCACCTTGGGCTAGGAAGACCCAGGTGGGAGGGGGAGCAAAGGAGACAGGGAAGGACTGAAGTCCACATAGTTGGCATCTACTGCACACCAGGCATACCAAGCCCTGTGCTTGGGGCTCCTTAATTGTTCCAGCAGTCCTGCAAAGGAGAGCTCATTTGTCACAATTTTATAGGCTGTGAGAGGTGATGTGGCCTGTCTGAAGTCACACTGTCAATAAATGGCAGAACCTAAGATTTGAACTCAGGTCTCACCATAGCTGAAGCTCAAGGGTGCTTATCTTCTTCCTCACCCCCTTCTTTCTCTTTCTTCTTTTGAGCTAATATAGCAGGGCCTTTGTTTTAAATTGCAGTGCATATTTTTAAAGCATTTATTCATGCATTAAGTCTCCCAAGATTTAAGCACCTACTTCGTGGCCAGAGAAATGCTGGGTGCTGGACTAGTGCTGGGAATGCGGAGTGGCTCAGTCTCAGTCAGTCCTAGGAGGAGCTCACGGACATATTAACTGTGACTGGAGTAAGAACAACAATAAGGGTAAGAGCAGGGCTTGTAGGAGCTCAGAGAAGGAGTCCTTAACCCAGCTGGGGGTGGGGACACTTCCTCGAGAGGGTCCTGTTAGCTGAGCCTTCAGAGATGGACAGGACTTGGCCAGGCATAGATGGGACATAAGGGAACACTGGAACAGGAGACTGCCTTCAGTCCAGAGGATAAAGGCAAGAGAACACATAGAGTCTCGGGGGTTGTGCAAGGCAGTCATGATCTGGAGTGTACTGTGGAGGGGCCAGAAGGAGAGATGAGACCCGAGGGCTGGGCAGAAGCTTAGGGTGGGTGACTAACCATCAGACTGAAAATGTAAGGAGGTCATGGAGGGGTTTATGGCAGAGGCTGAGGAGTGCCACATGCATGTTTGTGTGTTTTAGGTGGATCTTCCTTTCTGCAGTGTGCACGGTAGCTGGGAGGGGGTGGAACAGGGTGGAGGGAGACTGGTTCAGAGGCTTCCGCAAGCAGGTAAATTCAGGTATTTTGGAGGAGACTCCACAGGGCTTGGAGTGGATGAGAGAGACAGAGGGGCACTGCTGTGATAGAGTGCCATCTGGGAGTGGGAGAAGGTGTGGGAGGAAGGCAGCGGATTCACTTTGGGGCATGTTGAATTTAAGGTGCCTGGGAGGGCCCCACTCAACTCAAAACTCTGTGAGGGCAGCTTCTAAGGCCTATCTTGCTCACCCCAGTGCCCAGCGTAGGCCCTGTTACATAGCAGGTAAACACATAAATAAATGAAACCCAGAAGAGAAGTCTGGGCTGGACAGAGATATGAGAGGGTGAGGTCAATGTATTCGTGTGGAGAAAAGAAGAAGTCTTAGGACATGTGTGGGATAGAAAATACACAGGCCTGTTCCGAAGGTGAGGGTAGAAGCTGCTGAGGTGGGCAGGGGTTACCTTCTACCTGTGTAGAAACCATTCTCCTGTGTTGCCTTTTGCTTTGAGCCCAGAGCTCAGCTTATCATAACAAAGGGCACTAGGGAGCCACTTAGGAGATTAAAGGAGTTAAGCAGAGGAATGACCAGGTCAGAGGCTGATTTTAGACCACTCTGGTCTCAGTGAGGGGGAGGAGGGGGGTGGACATTGAGGCAAGGCACAGACTTCCAGGAAATCAGGACAGCCCCACTGTCATTACCATCAGGCCTTCTCTCCAGGCTGGGAGCTTGGACACCTGGGTTCAAAATTCTGGCTTTGCATTTTTTGGCCGGATATCCTTGAGAAATTACCTTCGCTTCTCTGTTTTCTTTCGTGTAATAATAATAAAGATGCCACAGATGTAGGGCTCCTTTCCGTTTACCAAGGGCCATTGGGTTGTCATAATTCTGAGGAGGAGATCAGGAGAGGATAGGGAGAGAGGAGATGACTGGCCCCAGTATACCCTCCTGACCCCCCCTCTGGCTCCCCAGGCTGGGTGCCCCATTGGGCGCCTTCCATGCCAGCCTCCTGCACTGTCTCCTGCCGCAGCTGAGCAGCCCGCGCCTGGCGGTGCGCAAGCGAGCTGTTGGGGCTCTTGGCCACCTAGCAGCTGCCTGCAGCACCGACCTCTTCATCGAGCTCGCTGACCATCTCCTGGACCGGCTTCCCGGCCCGCGCGCACCTGCCAGCCCCGCCACCATCCGCACCCTGATCCAGTGTTTGGGCAGCGTTGGCCGCCAGGCAGGTCACCGCCTGGGTAAGGGAACCGTACCCCTGGGCAAGGAGGCGGGGCCAAGGCAAGGAGGTGCTATGGAAAGGGGCGGGGTCCAGGCTGAGAGGTTGGGGCCTGGGGCTGGCCACCTCTAAGGGAATGGGGTTTAACTACCTGGAAGGGCAAAACGGGGCTTGAGAGGCAGCAGCAGGCTTGGCCCTGAGCACCGTTTTGCTCTGAGCTTTACTTGGAGGCTCTCAGATAATTATAAATCATCCTACCAAACTTGGATAAAATATGTTCTGTCCTTCTATTTTAACAAATATACCTTAATAACAACCTGTAAGCCAGGTTTGAGTTTTTTAAAGTTTTTATTGGGAGATAATGTATTACAATAAACCACACTGTTTAAAGTGTACAATTCAGTGTGTTTTGGCCTTTGCCAAACTACCACAATCAAGATGCAGAACGTTTTCATCTCTCTCAAAAGTTTCCTTGTGCCCCTTTGTAATCCATCCCTCCCTCTTCCCCACCCCAGGCAACCTTAATCTGCTCTCTGTGACCATATATTATTTGATAGAAATGGAATCCTGTAACCAGGTTTGAATTTATTCTCAAACACCTTGGCGTTCTGGAGTAGGTCAGGCAATGTGGGGAGAGCTGGCCATGGTCTGCTCCTCCCTTCCCTCTGGCGCTCACAGCAAGGGACCTTACAAGCACACATAGGGACCCCAGCCCACAGTCCACTCTCTATCCAATCCTGCCCCCTCACACACACACATACACACATACACACCCATCAAGTAGCAGCCACCACTTGGCCACTCTTGAGAGTATGGACCTGGGAAAGAGGTCTGCACGGGACCCAGACAAAGGTTTGGGGTCAGTGGGCAGGAAAGTGGGGAAGGGTGTGGCTGGAGAGGGGCTAAAGCAGAACCCTCCAAAGCCCAGGAATCAGGCAGGGGCCCCTCAAGCCTGGTCTTTTAGGGCAGTACCTGCTTCTCTCCTTTTTCCAGGGCTATCATCTAGTACAGGAAATAAGGCAAGGACAGGAGTAATAGTTTCAACAAGAGGTGCATCTTATTGAGTGCCTACTCTGTGCCAGGACCTGAGTGATACTCTTTATCTGCATCATTTCATTAGTCTTCACAAAATCTCTGTCTGGTGGGCATTGTCATCCCTACTATGAAGATGAAAAGACTGAGGTCAGAGAAGTATTGTGACATGCCCAAGATCTCAGAGCTTATAGGTGGCAGAATCAGAGCTAGAACCCACATGGGCTTGAGTCTGACGCCTCTGAGTTGAATTTGCAGTGGTTAGGGCTGTGGGTTTAGGGACAGACTGAGCACTGTGGGCTAGGGGAGCCCGGGAAAGGGTTGTCCTCAGTGACCCACCCGGTCCTGCAGGGGCCCACCTGGACCGCTTGGTGCCTCTGGTGGAGGAGTTCTGCAACTTGGATGACGATGAGCTCCGGGAGTCTTGCCTCCAGGCCTTCGATGCTTTCCTGAGGAAGTAGGTGCAGCGGGATGCTGGAAGATGGGGGCCCCAGAGTTTCATTGGGAAGTTAGTGGGGACACTAACTTTCCCTGCCCCACTCCTTGCCCTGTCCTGCCTGAGTCCACCAGAGCCTCCCCATTCCATCCTACAGGTGCCCCAAGGAGATGGGCCCTCATGTTCCCAATGTGACCAGCCTGTGCCTTCAGTACATGAAGCATGACCCCAACTATAACTATGACAGTGATGGGGATGAGGAGCAGATGGAGACAGAAGATAGTGAATTCAGTGAGCAAGGTGGGTAGCCAATTTGTCATTGGGGCTGGAGGGCAGAAATGGGTGCATCCTTACTGGGATACCCCCCATCCACCCAGCCAAAGACAGGAGCCGTATTTAGTGCCCCATTCTCATCCCAACTGTTCTACAGTCTCCAACCCTGCCTACCATAATCTAGATTCCTCAATGTCCCCATCTTTTCTGACTGCACAATAACAACAGTAGTAATCACTGACATTGATTGAGCATCTGCTGGTGTCCTAAACACTCTCTTATTTTATGTTCCTTACAGTAACCCTGGAAAACTAGGTATTTATTATTATCTCCATATTTCATACAAGGAAACTGAGACTTAGAGAAGCTATTTGCCTGAGATAACACAGCTAGGAAGTAGCGTAGCGGGACTTGAGAGCCATGTCTGTGAGACTCCTCCACCTCTATACTGCCATCTCTACCCTTTTAGTCATGGCTTCCAAGAGACAGTTGCTTTAACCCAGCAGAGTGAAGCTCTAATGGTGGAATGATAGACACTGATTGGGGAGATATCTGGATAGGGAGTGGATTCGGTGGCTTCTTTCTGTGCCTGTGGTCCTATGTGTTACTCAGATGGATGCCCAAGGTTCCTGAAAGCAGGACATTGATGGAGCCAGGGGTCTTAGGGTCTGATGGCATACTTGGAACAAGATGGGATGATAGGAGATGAGATTGGATAGGCATGTTGGTGCCTCGAATGCCAAGCCGGGAAGATTGGGCATTTTCTTGTCAGTGACTGGAAGCTATGGATGTTTCTTTGTGGATGGCATAGAGTAGAGGTAACAAATCATGATCCATCAGAGGGAACATCTGCTCAGCTGACAGGTTACATCCATGGGATCGTCCATATGGTCTACTGCGGCTTGTCCAGATGCCAGCTCTTAGTCTAAGTCAATAGAGCACTGTGGATAGGAACACACTGGCCCCTGAGCCTATACCTGGGGCAGCCCTAGTTAGGGCCATCCCTTCTGAGCTTCATGTATCTCCCCAGGTGATAGGGGTGGGCCTTGTGGTCCTAAATCTGAGCTCAGCTATCCTGTTCCCTGTGCGGCCTCAGGAGAGTCTCAACATCTCTGAGCCTTATTATAGTCAACTGTAAAATGGGGCTCAAAATACTCTGTGAGCGCTGACCTCTTGGGGGAGCTCAGAGAGGAGGAAGCCACATAAACACAGCATTTTCTGCTTGGAAGCCGGAATCAAGGCCCCTGAGAAGCTGGGGTTTGGGGTGGGGAAGAGGGGACATGCCAAAGGCAGGCCCTGTTGCCTCTCATTTCTGGAATCCCAGTAAATGAAACATCACACAGACAGTCCTAAAACCAAAGGATGGGTTTTGTACCCCAATAGATTCTCTGGGTCCTTACTGAAGACTTAGAAGTCAATTTTTATCCTGGTATAGTCAAGACAACAAAGTGTTTAGAGACAGAGAGAGGACCCAAGTTTAACTCCAGCTGTTTTCCTGTTTATGTAACTTGGGGTGAGTCACTTCCTTCTGAGCCCCATTTTTCTCATCTCTACAGTGGGAAAATAATCCCTGTCTCACAAGGTCATTATGAGGCTAAAATGAGATTGTGGATTTGAAGTGCTTTGTGCCATCCCTAGCACATAGTAGGTGTTCATTAAATGGTAGGTAACATTCCTAATAGGGTATAAATAATGATTATCAGAAAGGTGAAGCACAGGCACAGCTCCCTCCTCTCCGTCCTGAGGGATACCTGGATGGGGCAGGCAGCTCCCTGTCTATCTGCTACAGAGTGCAGGGTTCCATGGGTATCTCATTCCTGTCCCAGAGAGTGAGGATGAATACAGCGATGATGATGACATGAGCTGGAAGGTGCGCCGGGCGGCAGCCAAATGCATGGCAGCCTTGATCAGCTCCCGGCCAGACCTGCTGTCTGACTTCCACTGCACCCTGGCACCTGCGCTCATCCGCCGCTTCAAAGAACGGGAGGAGAATGTCAAGGCTGATGTCTTCGGGGCTTACATCGTGCTGCTGCGGCAAACACGGCCCCCAAAAGGATGGCTGGAGGCAGTCGAGGAGCCCACCCAGACTGGCAGCAACTTCCACATGCTTCGAGGGCAGGTGGGCACGCCTTCACCTCTTTCCCATCCCTTTACTTCCCCACTCACGACTCACCCTCCCTCCTACTCACAACCCTTCCATCTGTCCATCTTCCCACCCATCCACCTGCCCCACCATCTGTCCATCCATTGAAAGTGTGAATATTGAGCACCTCCTATGTGCCCATCCCTGTGTATCAGGTGTTGGGGCCTAGCAGGGAGCAAGACAGATGAAGGCCCTGCCCCTGGACCACACAGTTCTTGGGTCTTGCTGACTGGTTGGATGTGGAGGGAAGGATAGGGAGGTGTCATGTGAGTTCCAGGCTCTGGCTGAAGCTTGGAGTGCAGTTCCCCAAGATGATAGGGTATGAAGAGGGTGATGTCCAGAGTCCAGTTCTCAACATTTATGTTCGAGGCCCTTGGGTGTCTCAGTGGAGACATCAGGTGGGCAGTCAGCACTTGAGTCTGGTGTTGGTGATATGTATCAGGAGTCACTGCTGTGCTGACATCTGAAGCTCGGGGGAATGGATGAGCCCATCTGGGGCGAACCCAATTGGGGAAGGGAGGGGCCAGTGCTTTTCCCCTCGGGATGTGAGGGTGGGAGCCAGACTGCCTGTGTAGTTTTGAGCAAGTTACTTAATCTCTCTGTACCTGTTTCCCCATCTGTAAAGTGGGCTCAGGAATAGTACCTACCTCAGAGGGTCTGAGTATAGAATCAGGTGCCTGGTACAGAGCGAGTGATAGAAAGCTTGGGGTGGAGCCCTCCTTCCCATGCTGGGGTCCTCCATGGGCAAAGCTCCCCAGGAGTAGGTGGGCTGTGGAGGTTCCCTGGTGGTCACTCACCTCCCTCACCTGCCCACAGGTGCCCCTTGTGATCAAGGCCCTGCAACGGCAGCTTAAAGATCGGAGTGTCAGGGCCCGCCAGGGCTGCTTCAGTCTCCTCACCGAGCTGGCGGGCGTCCTCCCTGGCAGCCTGGCAGAGCACATGCCCATTCTGGTAGCAGGTAGGATAGACTGGAACCTGGTATGTGCTATCCTGGGCCTCTCCAGAACCTGGACCCCGGTCCCCAACCCTCAAGGGTGCCCCTGTTCAGCAACCTGTGGTGGCTCCCCATTGCCAGCAGTGAAAACAAGACTGGGGTACAGGCCCTACATCCTGGTTTTAGATGGCTTCTCTGGCCTGTGTCCCTTAGCCCTGGCCCCAGCCAAGCCCTGACCTCTCAGAATCTGCTGCATAAGAGCCCAGGTGCCTGGATCCAGCTCAGATACCTGTGGGTGTTCCACCCCCGCACCCAGGGAAGGTTGATTGGGTCGGGATCTATGGCCCGTAACCTCTGCCCTCACCCTGTAGGCATCGTCTTCTCACTGGTGGACCGCTCCAGCTCTTCCACTATCCGGATGGATGCCTTGGCCTTCCTGCAGGGGCTGCTGGGCACAGAGCCAGCTGAGGCCTTCCATCCGCACCTGCCCACCCTCCTGCCACCTGTGATGGCCTGTGTGTCTGACCCTTTCTACAAGATTGCGGCTGAGGCCCTGCTGGTGCTACAGGAGTTGGTGCGGGCCCTATGGCCCGTGGACAGGCCTCGGATGCTGGACCCCGAGCCATATGTTGGAGAAATGTCTGCGGCCACCCTGGCACGTCTCCGTGCCACTGACCTAGACCAGGAGGTGAAGGAGCGGGCCATCTCCTGCATGGGCCACCTCGTGGGCCACCTGGGTGATCGGCTGGGGGATGACCTGGAGCCATCATTATTGCTCCTCCTGGACCGCCTGAGGAATGAGATCACTCGGCTGCCTGCAGTCAAGGCACTGACGCTAGTGGCCGTGTCCCCGCTACGGCTTGACCTGCAGCCCATCCTGGCCGACGCACTGCCCATTCTGGCCTCATTTCTGCGCAAGAACCAACGGGCACTGCGGTTGGCCACACTGGCTGCTCTGGATGCCCTGGCCCAGAGCCAGGGACTCAGCCTCCCTCCATCCGCTGTGCGATCTGTGCTGGCCGAGCTGCCTGCTCTGGTCAATGAGAGCGATATGCATGTGGCCCAGCTGGCTGTGGACTTTCTTGCCACGGTAACCCAGGCCCAGCCAGCCTCTTTGGCTGAGGTCAGTGGCCCCGTGCTCTCAGAGCTGCTGCGGTTGCTGCGTTCACCCCTGCTGCCAGCAGGTGTTCTAGTGGCCGCTGAAGGCTTCTTGCAGGCTCTAGTGGGGACCCGTCCCCCGTGTGTGGACTATGCTGAGCTCATCAGCCTGCTCACTGCACCTGTTTATGACCAGGCTGTAGACGGCGGGCCAGGCCTCCATAAGCAGGTGTTCCACTCTCTGGCTCGGTGTGTGGCAGCTCTTGCAGCTGCCTGTCCCCAGGAGGCAGCAGGCACAGCAAACCGCCTGGTCTGTGATGCCCGGTCACCCAAATCCAGCACGGCGGTCAAGGTCCTGGCGTTCTTGTCACTGGCTGAGGTGGGCCAGGTGGCCGGGCCAGGCCCCCAGCGGGAGCTGAAGGCAGTGCTCCTGGAAGCCTTGGGGTCACCCAGTGAGGACGTGAGAGCAGCTGCCTCCTATGCACTGGGCCGTGTGGGTGCTGGGAACCTACCTGATTTCCTGCCCTTTCTGCTGGGGCAGATCGAGGCCGAGCCCCGACGGCAGTACCTGCTATTGCACTCGCTCAGGGAGGCCCTGGGGGCTGCCCAGCCTGATAGCCTGAAGCCCTACGCGGAGGACATCTGGGCCCTGCTGTTCCAGCGGTGTGAGGGCACTGAAGAGGGCACCCGGGGGGTGGTGGCCGAATGCATTGGGAAGCTGGTCCTCGTGAACCCTCCATTCCTTCTGCCCCGATTCCGGAAGCAACTTGCTGCAGGTAGGGGCACAAGTGTGGGCAGAAGTGGCCTAGATCAGAGGTAGGCAGTTTACCCGAGTGTAGAGTGGCCCACACAAAGTGAGCTAGTTCAGATGATTGGGTGTGAGAGTTACAGTGTGTGTAAGACAAAGGCAGAGGAGCCATTAAAAACTATCTCCTGAGACTATAGGCCTCCCGCGGGACTCTGTGGAATGGAGGGGACAGAATCCTTGATAGGTCCCTTTAACAAAGAAAGTTTTCAGGATGCCACTTTTGTAATTTTTGGTGAGGAGAGCAGCCTTGTGCTCCAGGCAAAGATTGATAAAAGCAGTTGTCTGAGGGACCAGAAACTGCAGCCTGTGGAGTGTATCTCTCTTGGGCTAGCTTGAGCCAGGAGCAAATAGAAATGTCGTCTAGATTGGAGGGCTGGGCAGGAACCAGGGGGCCATTTTCGTGTGGTTAGATCAGGGCACATCAGGGTGTTCCACAGCTGGGGAAGAAAGAAAGCAGGCCGGTGTGCACGTGGGGATGTTTGGGTCCCTGAGAATGAAAGTCTAGCCTTCAGGCCTCAAGCTGGCTTGGTGTGTGGCAGCCCTTATCTGATAGGGTAAGGGGGTGTATCAGTTCACATAATGTAGGCAGAGTGCTTGGTATAGGGTGTCATATCTAATTAACACTGCTGTTGTTGCTATATGGGTGATTATATTAAGCCCTTGCTGGGTTACTGGCTTTATAAGAAGCAGTTGTGTGGCCCTCATCCCTGCACAGACAGGAAGAACATTCCCTAAGGATAGTCCCTGTCACACTCACAGGGCTCTTCACCAGAACTCTTGAGAGGCAGTCTTGAAATGAGGAGCAGCCCTGCCTTTTGAAAGCTCTATTTTGTTTTTGCCTCATGCATGCTGTTGAACCAGCTACTGGGTTGGTCACATGTTCTTTTTACTTTTAACTGTCGGCTGCTGAGAAGGAAGCTTAGAGCCAAGTTAGTAGCCTGCTTCTAGAGAGTTTGTGGGACTTCCCAGTTGCCTCTTTCTGCACGCCCCTCACTCTATTCTAGTCTCCATCTCAGGTCCCTGCGTTGCCCTCATTTTTATTTTAAATTCACTTAATCCTATCCTATTATGCATATCTTCATCAGCCACCCTGAATCTTCTTAGGAGCCAGTCAGGATGGAAAGAGAAACAACAAAAAGTCTAAATTTAGTAGCTCTCACTTATACATACCCTAGCACCAAGTTGTAAACTTTCTCCTGAGTCTTGAACGTAAGGTCTGTATGATGGAAACAGCCTTAACCTGTGTGGGGTGGGGTAGAGAGAAGCGAGCAGTTTATTTGTTTTTCTTCCTGTTGTATTGATATAATTGACATATAATGCGTATTAGGTTAAAGAGTACAACATAATGATTTGATATATGTATATATTGTGAAATGATTACCACAGTAAGTTTAATTAATATCTATCACTTCTCATAGTTACATTTTTCCCCTTGTGATGAGAAGTTTTAAGATATACTCGTCTCTTAATAACTTTCAAATATATAAAATAGTATTGGTAGCTGTACTGTATGTTGTACATTACATTAGCAGAAATTATGTACTTATACCTGGAAGTGTGTACCTTTTGGTCACCTTCACCCATTTCACCCACCCCCCAACCCCCATCTCTGGCCACCACAAATCTGATCTCTGTCTCTACGAGTTCGGTTCTTTTAGATTCCACATATAAGTGAGATCATATGGTATTTGTCTTTCTCTGTCTGACTTATTTCACAAAGCATAATGCCCTCAAGATCCATCTATGTTGTGGCAAATGGCAGGATTTCCTTTGTTTTTGTGGCTTAACAATATTCTTATGTATGTGTGTGTCACATTTTCTTTATCCATTCATCCATTGATGGACACTTAGATCATTTCCATGTTTTGGTTATTGTAAATAATGCTGCAGTAAACATGAGAGTGCAGATATCTCTTTGGGATAGTGATTTTGTTTCCTTCAGATATATTCCCAGAAGTGAGATTGCTGGATTATATGGCAGTTAAATTTTTAAATTTTTGAGGCACCTCCATGCTGTTTTCCATAGTGGCTACACCAATTTACATTTCCATCAAGAGTGCACAAGCATTTCCTTTTCTCCACATCCTTGCCAACATTTATTTCTTTCTAATGACAGCCATTCTAACAGGTGTGAGGTGATACCATGTTGTGATTTTGATTTACATTTCCCTGATGATTAGTGGTATTGAGCACCTTTTCATGTACCTGTTGGCCTTTTGAGTATCTTTGAAAAAACTGTCTATTCAGGTCATTTGCCTATTTTTTAATTGGATTGTTTGTTTTGCTATTCAGTTGTATGAGTTCTTTACATATTTTGGATATTAACTCCTTATCATGGTTTGCAAATATTTTTTCCCATTCCATAGGTTGTCTTTTCACTTTGTTGATGGTTTCTTTTGCTGTGTAGAAGCCTTTTAGTTCGATGTAGTCCCACTTGTTAATTTTTTATTTTGTTGCTTATGTTTTAGGTGTCATATCCAAAAAATCATTGCCAAGACCATGTCAAGGAGCTTTATTCCTCTGTTTTCTTCTTGGAGTTTTATGGTTTCAGGTTTTAAATTTAAGTCTTTAATACATTTTGACTTAATCTTTGTGAGTGGTGTAAGATATGGATCCTGTTTCATATCCAGTTTTCTCAGAACACCATATATTGAAGAGACTGTCTTTTCCCCACTGAGTATATTTGGCTCCCTTGTCAAATATTAGTTGACCATATATGCCTGGGTTTATATCTGGCCTCTCTATTTTGTTCCATTGGTCTATGTATCTGTTTTTATGCCAGAACCATACTATTTTGATGACTATAACTTTATAGTATAGCTTGAAATCAGGAAGCGTGATGCCTCCTGGCTTCTCATTCTTTCTCAAGATATTTTTGCTTATTTGGAGTCTTTTGTTGCACCATACAAATTTTGAGGTTTTTTTTTTTTTCTATTTCTGTAACAAAATGCCATTAGAATGTGAGCAATTTAGAAAGGATATTGAGAAGCATATGGAGCAGCTGCTGATTTATTTCTTTCACCCAGTAGGAAATGTATTTCCCTCCCTTTATTCAGCTTCTCTGCTCAAAAAGCAAGCAGAAAAGCAAAACTGAGATCTTCATTCCCAAACTAAATTCTTTTGGAATCCCCTTGACCATCAGCCTATCTGAAGTACAGCTGTCCCCAGCTTGGAGAATACAGGGCTGAGGAGGAGGGCCCAGCCAAGGCTCAGAATCAGCTATTGAATTCTGGATCTGCTGTGTGACCTTAGACATGAACTTAACCTTTATGGATCTCTCTTTCTTCTGTAAAGTAGATATTAATAATTTTAATAATTATTTTATTATCAACCCATTAATAGAACCATCTTGAGGATTAATTAAAATAATATGTCTGAAAAATAGAATTCAGTTCTAAGGCCTAAGCAAAGATTTTTCTTTGGGTTGACCACTGTCTTGGGTTCTTGGTTCCCTGTTTGTATCCTGCAGTGTGGTTACCCTAGAATGGCAGTTTTACTCTCTCACCTGCAGCAGGAAGAGTTCAGGGAAGATTCTAGTCTGCTAAGGAAAATGGTAGCATTGACTTCCCCAAAGATTACAGGGCAGGTTTCAAGTGGGGAGGGACTACAGTTCTGTCTCCTGTGGAGGAAGAGAAGAGTCTTCGTACCTTACGATCTGTGAGTACCTAGGATTGGCCCTACCCCTTATCACGCCACTGCCTCTTGCCTGCAGGTCAGCCTCACACCCGGAGCACTGTCATCACAGCAGTCAAGTTCCTCATCTCGGACCAGCCCCATCCCATCGACCCCCTCCTGAAGAGCTTCATCGGTGAGCAGAGCATCCCCTCTTCCCCCAACTTTGTTTAGCCCCCTCAACAGCCCTTGAACTGTGACCGATTTTTCTTATACATTAGTCGAAGGGAGTTGGAGATCTGGGAGGCCACCTCACCCCCATGACAGCGTGGGGCCTGGGTTCAAATCCCTGTGCTGCCACTGAGTTACTGGGTGAGCCAGGCATGCCCCTTCTCACCTCTGAGCCTCAGATTCCTCATTGGTAAAATGGAGACAAGGAACCCTTATCTGCAGTTCCAAGGTTGTTTTGGAGACCCCATGGGTTATTGAGAGAGAAAGTGCTCCATGAACACACAGGCTCTTAGAAGTGGGAAACCACCAACCTCTGGCATGCACTGGCATCAGAGGGCACAGCTGCACCGGGGTAGAGGAGAGTGGCTCTCCAACTCGTCCCCTGTCCAAGGGGCCTTCTGGCCTGAGGAGCCCAAGCAGCCTTCATTGGGAAGAGGCTGAGCACTCATTCCTTTGGAGCTCTGCAGGATCGGGCTTACTTCTTCAGAGCTCTGAGACTGTGGACTTTGAACTGGACCACAGCAGTTCAGGGAAGGCCGCCTAGTGGACTATGGAGAGGTTTTGGAGTCTGCCATCCTTGAGTTCAAATCCTGGCTCTGCCACTTCCTGGCTGTGTGAGAGTGGATCATCTCATCCTCAGCCATAAAATAGGGGTGCTGATCTCCACCTGCCGGGGCACTACTTGGTGTGAAACCAAGGGTTCATCAGGTGTGACCACATTCTGAATTGGAGAACATGTGCAGTACAGCTACAGCAATATCATCAGCAGCAACTTTATCCTGTGACCTGACCCAGTGGGCACACACTGCTTCTAGCCCTGATTTCCTCCCTTTCGCCTAAGCTGTGCTTGGCTGGCACCCCCAGGGGCCTCCACCTGGGTGTTTGGTTTTTGTTGTATGTTTGAACCACGGTTTTTGAGCTCTCATTGCATATCACTTTAATATACTTTAATATATATCATCATAGTTAATTCTCACAGTTCCCTGCATGGAATGTAGGACTGGCCCCATTTTACAGATGAGGAAACTAAGGCTCATAGAGTAGATTTGAACTCAGGTCTTGCTGGTTCCCCACAATTGTGTTTTCACAGAGAGTAGGGAACCTAGGAGCCAGCATGGCACAGTTGAAGGGCCTAGAGGCTGCCAGCCCTGGGTTGGAATTCCACTCTGCTGGGACACTGTTCTCGCCAGTGCATCACATTGGGAAGCACATAATGGCATTTTGTCTTGTGTCTGGTGATGGTAACTGATCACCTGGGTAAGGCGGAGACCTCCAGATTTTTTCACTCTACAGTTACTCTTTTTCCTTTGGAATGAATAAGTATGTTTTAGTCTGTTGAAATAACTTCTTCTTCATCAGAGTTTTGCCCACTACATTTTGTATCCATTGTAGTTTCTTACCTGAATCAGTGATTAGTGACAGTTGCCAAATAGTGACTTTCTAATTCCAGCATTCTATCTGGCATATATATTAGTTTGCATTCTATTCTCAGGAAGAACTTTTCCTTCTCCCCCATTTGTTTATTTATTTACTAATTTATTCATATCATTATAGACTTATGGATGGATTCCTGTTTCATCCAGTGTGTTATAATCTATTACTGTATTTATTTTGATTTTTAAGATAGTCTCAGATTTAGCATGTGGGAGCCCTTCAAACTTGTTCCTCTGTTCATTGACATGTTTCCATCATTCTTTGAGCATATCCATACTTTTTGGCACAATAAGATGCTCCAGTCTCATCTTTCCTGCCTTAGCCCTGGAATCAGCCATTTTTCCAAGGAGCCCCAATTCCTTTTAGTAAAGAATGATATTTAGAATCCAAGATCTGTACACTAGGTGTGCTCATTGCTACAGCAGACAGTACATACTAGGAAATATGGATATGTATGAATGTATGTGCACAGGCAGACACACATATGTCCATGTATTAACTTCCTATTCCGGTCCACCACCATAGGAGTTCATTCTAGCCGTCGCCCTTTCCATGTGTCCTTCTCTTACAAGGAGAAACTCAGCTCCTATTATCTACAAGATATTTATTCACTTAATTTTGGAATGCAAAGAGAGTAGTCTGAGAATTGCTAACCTTTATCTCTGTGAAAAGTCAATATTTGCTTATAGTTCTTTTATCTTTAGCCTGAGGGCATGTAATCAGAACTCTTTGGAAGTTATTTGGGTGAGTCGTTTTCTCCATCATAACCTGGGTGGTTATGTTAATCATTTGAAATAGTTTTGTTGTGTTTTTTTTTTTTTTATGGATTCCCCCATTCTTGATTTTATTTATTAATTATATAAAGCATTAACACAGTTATTAAGAAGTCTAAACTGTACAAAAAGGTATACTTAAAGAAGTGCTGTGTGACTTTAAGGTACTTCACCTCTCTGATCTTCAGGAGCCTCATCTGTAATAATATCAAGTTAACATTTGTAGGATCTTTGCTTTGTGCCAGGCCCTCTGCTATGTGCTTTATATACATTACTACATTTTAAATCATAAAAACAGCTCTACAGTATAGGTACTGCTATTACCCTCATTTAACAAATGAGGACATTGAGGCTCTCCAAGGTCCCAGAGTGAGGAAGTAGTAGAACCTGGATATGAACCCCGGCCAGACCTAAGTTCACATTTTCATCTGGACTTTGAAGGCTTGTTGTGCGTGATACAAAGCTCAGAACATGCTCACCCACATTCAGGCAGGTCTGCATGACTCGCATGAACCAGATCACCAAGGTGTGGGTGGAGGTGGTTTGTGTCTTGGCTGTGCCATCCTTCACACCCTCCTCTCGTTTTTCTGCCAGGAGAGTTCATGGAGAGCTTGCAGGACCCAGACTTGAATGTGCGCCGGGCCACTCTGGCTTTTTTCAACTCAGCTGTGCACAACAAGCCCTCGTTGGTACGGGACCTGCTGGATGACATCTTGCCTCTCCTCTACCAGGAGACGAAGATCCGCCGGGACCTCATCCGAGAGGTAACACCCAGGGAGTACTGAGTGGGAGCCCTGTGGTCTGTTGGGGCTATGGTGAGAATTAGGGTCCAGCTCATCAGATGACCAGGCCCCATGGCCTATGTCAAGTCCGGTACCTCTACTTCCCAGCTGTGTGACCCTATCAGGACAACCTAATCCACTCCAAGTCCCAGTTTCTCTTCACAGGCAAAATGAGCAAAATAATCATGTCTGCATCATAGGACTGTTGAGAAGATTCAGTGAGTTAAGTCCTACAGGTGCTCAGACAGCTCTTGGCACATGATCAGCACACAGTAAATACTGGTGGCTCTTGTTAGTACCCAATATTCAGCAGATGTTTATGGAACACCAGGCCTGTGTCTGAGTGCCAGGACTCATAGCTGTACCACATGTGGTTTCTGCACCATGGTCTCCTGAAGGAGAGAGACACCCAGTCTGCTGATTACTTAACTTATTTAGAGCCCAGTTGGCAAAGTAAGGATTTAAGGGACAGAGATTAAAGGTGATTTAACAGTTAAGTCATCACACAATGTAATAAAAATGTCTGAACCACCTAGCAACACTGCGGAGGAAGTGACCATTTAAAGAGGTTATGAGTTTTCCAAAAGAGGAGACATTTGAGCTGTATTTGAATGGGGGAGAAGGAGTTTACCATTAAGAGCAGAACATCATGGTTAAAAGCTTCAGAGAGACCAGAGTTTTTAATTCTGGGTCAACCATTTACTAGCTGTGTGTCCTTGGGCAAATTAATTAAATTAACCTCTTTGAGCCTTAGTTTCCTCATATGTTAAATGGGGTTAATAGTAACACTGGCTTCCTAGGGCTGTTATGATGCTTGAGTATAATGTCTTCTGTCAGGCGCTCAGGAAAGAGCTTAGCACATCATAACTGCTCAGTAGATTATAATAATGATAATTATTGTTATTATCATTATCGAAGGGCATTGCAGGCTGAGCAAAGGCTTGTAGACTTGAGAGTATAAGGCGTGATTTGGGGATGAGACACAGGATTGAACAACAGAGGTATGGGTTGTGCAGCAGGAACTAGGGGAGGTATTCTCACACTCTGGGGTCACATACTCTAACCTCTTGTCATCCTTCCCTCCTTCAGGTGGAGATGGGGCCCTTCAAGCACACAGTGGACGATGGGCTGGATGTGCGGAAGGCAGCCTTTGAGTGCATGTACTCACTGCTTGAGAGCTGCCTGGGCCAGCTGGACATCTGTGAGTTCCTGAACCATGTGGAGGACGGCCTGAAGGACCACTACGATATCCGGGTAGGATGAGCTCCCTGCCAGACCTATACCCACGCTATACCAAGGGGACAGCCAGGAACCACTGAGCCCACTACTTGTTTGTCCCCCACCCCCTACTCCCATGAAAACAGCTGTATTGTTCTTTTCTGATAAGAAAAAGAACCCACATTTTAAAACACCTTTGTGGGAGTCTATGCTGGCAAGCTCTCTGGAGGATGGTTTGGCAATAACTAGAAAAATTTATAATGCTCACACACCCTTTGACCCAGCAATTACATTTCCATGAACAGAGCTTTGGACCGACTCCTACATGTGCAGTGTTTTATGTTCAAGATGGTTCTTCACAGATTTCTAGAAATTGGAAAAAGCTGGCAGCTACCTAAATGTGCACTTATGGAGAACTGGCTCGATAAGCTGGGCACTTCAGTCATGGAATCATAGCAGCATTAAAAAGAGTGAGCCAGATCTCTGTGTACTGATGTGAAAGATGGCCAAGACCCACTGAGTGGTAAAAAGCGAGTTGTTTTTATGGGTTTTTCTCATGCTTGAGCAAGTCTTCCTTTTTTCTCTCCCTCTGGCTACATGTCCTTCTTGCCCACCGTCCAGGGAGCACAGGACAAGGCCTGGACATCAGTTCAAACTTTGGACCCCTATGTGCAGGCCCCCTTTGGTGCTGAGGAGGGTGGATGTGTCATCTGTTGAGCAACCTACAGTTATCTCATCCAGCCTTCATATTAACCTTTGGAGAGTGAGTTTATGATGCCCCATGTACAGAGGACACACCAGAGACCTGGCTAGTTCAGGAGCACAAGTAGGAAGTGGAGGTGCCATGGGTTATAGCTCATGATTTCTAATGGCATGTTCTTTGCTTCTCTGCCTGTCTTCCTCCTTTGCTGTGGGGCATGTGGGGATCAGGGCAGGTTAGATAGCTGGTGGGGATGAGTAGGCTGTATAAATTTCAACCACCCTTTATAATGTGTATCATTTATAGGGACCTTACCATTTTTAAAAGAAGTCACCATTATTTGCCTGCAGGCTGAATCCAGGCCTGTAGCCATGGTTAGTTGGCTCACAGTTTATTTGTTTTTTTGTCTTTTTAAGTTAGGTGCCAACATTTAAAAATTGAAAGATTTTACATGAAAATCAGGGTTTCTTTTGAAAAGAGTCTTTCACCCGTGAGGCCAAATTCACACCTAGCCACAGTTGGCTGGAGGTGAGTAGCTGCTGTTTGGAGCATGGACTCCTTACTCCTTCTCAGTTCCCATCTGGCCCTTCACTCATGGATAGTACCTGCCTGGCCCAGTGGGCATCTGAGTTTGAGAACTGCCCGCTCCCTCGTGCCTCTTCTGATTTGATTCTCTTCAGGACAACCAGTTGTAGTTGGCATAATTGACATTACCATTCAGATTATACAGATGAGGAAACTGAGGTCCAGAAGGGAGAGATTCTGGCAGGGGCCCAGGCAAGAATTAGTGTGAGTTTGGATTTGAGCTCCATATGTTGGGCCCGGCACCTCTGCTCTCCCTCAGGACCTGCTCCTTTTTGTCCTGGGTCATTTCACCAAGAACTCTTATCTCTTTCCTCCTGGGCAGATGTTGACCTTCATCATGCTTGCACGATTGGCCACCTTGTGTCCTGCACCCGTCCTGCAGAGGGTGGACCGGCTCATTGAGCCACTCAGGGCCACCTGCACCGCCAAGGTAAGCCCTCTGCTCTGTGCACACCTGCCGGGTCCCCCACAAATGGTTCATAGCTATCATTTACTGAGAACTTCCTGTGGTACAGGTGGTGTGGGAAGTGCTTCATTTAATCATCATCGTCCTATAAAGTACTTCTTAATTACACCTTAATCTTACTATTGTATACACAGGGGAACAGAGGCTCAGAGCGAAGTTGTTGACAGGCTGCATGGCTAGTAAATTGCAGAACTGGGACTCAAACTCAGCTCTCTTTCATTCATTAAATATTTCTTGGGTGCTGGGCTTTGTGCAAGGTACTAGAGATACAACACTAAACATGATGGGCACTCCTTTCACATCCTAATCCCTGAGTCAGACTCCTAGAAATCATTGACTGACTGATGTGGGGCAGAGTTGCTGCTAAATTGGAGTGCCTCAACGGCCAGGGAAGGGATCTGGGGCAGAAGTCTTCATGGAAAGCTGCACTGTTGGGAACAGAGCCTGGCACAGCCAGGGTACCCAGTAAAATACCTGTTGAATAAAAGAGTTAATTTAGGTTTTGGAAAGGTAAAAGAAATTAGACGAAGAGGGCAGAGTATTTTAGATTGGAGCTTAAAGAGAAGAGATACCTATGGAGCAGTAATTTTTTAAGTAGCAAAATCTCCCCCCCCCCCCAAAAAAAAAAGAAATCTTATGTGGATAAATTACAATTGATAATTAATAGAAACCTGCTTTGTGTGTTTCGATTTTTAACATGCTTAGAATGAAGTCAATCAAATAAAACGGTGGTTCTGCAGGGCCTTTGAGCTCTTGACAGTCTCAGTGGCCAAATCATTTCTAGTTTTCTTTGAACCATATAGCATGGAGAAAAATCCTAATTCATAGGGAGGAGCTGAAAATAGCATTGCAGTGTCAGGACACCCTTCATTCACTTTGATCTGAGGCCTACACAAAAGCCACTCAGTCTGGCTGCTCAGAGGATGTTGTTGAGCATCCTGACGCGAGACAATCTCTCACCCACAATTCGGAAACCTACAAAGCTCCGGAAGCAAAAAGCTTTTTAGTAACTTGTTTGGCAACAAAACTTAATTTGAACTGGCATGAGACTGTTTATGACCTTTATTTTCTTATTGTGGTATTCATAATATTCTTACATATTCCCATAAATTTAGTGGGGGAAAGTGTTTTTGATAATAGGGTATTGTACCAGACCCATGTTATCACCTTTCTAAAACACCCAAAACTCCTGAATTCCAAAAGAACATCTGGCCCCAAGAGTTTCCCAGAAGAGGGTAGGGACTTGTTAAGTCTTTTAATCCTCATAGCGGCCTTATGAAGAGGCTCTTATAGACGGGGAACTAAGGGGCAAAAAGGTGATTGCCCGAAGTCACAGCTCTCACAGGGCAGTGCCATTTGAACCCAGAACTGTCCAACCCCAATACCAAGCTCTTCACCAGATTCTTTAGGGGGAAGAGCCTAGTGTTGTCTGGGTTGTCACAGAGGCCCTTTATTCCCTAAGCAGTGGGGAAATTCCTCAGATTCTCTAAGTGGGAA